CTGGAGCCCGCGCTGTGCCGGCAGCTGGAGGCGGGGGGCAGGTGAGCCCGCGCCCCCGCGCCCCAGCCTCCGATTCTCGGATGCGGGGCAGAGCGGGATGGGGAGCTGGGCCCCGGAGGCGCGCGGGTTGGGATTCCGCGCCTCCGCTGGGCTCCCAGTGAGCTGGGCTGGTGTGGTCAGTAGGACGGCCCCGGCTGATCCTGGAGGCCTGTGCCATGCAGAACCAAGAGAAGTTTTGAAAATGGTAACTGATGCCAGGGACCGCACAGAAGCCTTGGCCCTTCTAGCTTGAAATCCAATGGTAATGGATAACACTTATAGAGTTTTTCTTGCCTTCTACTTATATTTATTTTACTCAGACGATAGGTGGGACTGTAGGGAATACATTTAAAGCCATTTTACAGACTTGGTAATTGAGGAAGTCCCTCAAAAAAACCACACACACAAAACCAGCCTTGCTTGGGGTCACTCAGCGAGGATCTGAAGCAGTTTCTGAATCTCGGTCAGCTACCCATTTGCTGCAAGACCATGGATTAAAAAACAACCAAAGGAGAAGTCTAGAGAAATATTCTTTTACGTTTTTTTAAAAAATCCTTTTTTTCTTTCTTTATCTCTCAATTTTGTGCGGTCCCAGCTTCTGGAATTGAGGATTACAAGCTGTGGTTTGGTTCTCTTCTGCATTGTAGCTTCCGTCAACACTTGTATTTTATTTTATTAGGTAGTTTGTTCTCTTGTAGGTTCTTTTAAATTGAATCCTTTAGTTGTCTTTCAGTTTTCATGCTTCACCCATCCAACAGTGTTATAGTTAACTAGCCAGTCTCCAGATGCTGGCCACTAAATTTCTGTAAGGGAACTGTCAATGACTTGACTCATGGGTTTTCATCCCAGCTGAGTTGGCAGGGATTGGAGAAGGGACTTAAGGTGTGAGAACCTTCTCTTTGCCCAACTGTAATTAACCTAGCTGGCAAAACCCAGGAAAAAACACAAAAAGCCCCCTAGAAATGTGGGTTTTAAAATTTGTGTGTGCATGTGTGTGTGTGGGGGGGGTGGGGGTAGTTTTAAACAAAATATTTCAAAGCAGGGATAGTGCAATGTAGAAATAAATGTTAAAGAATAGGTACTTGGGACTATTAAACATTATTAGCTCCAGGAGGCTAATAAAAGCCTTTTATTCTTTTCACTTAAAGGCTTAGTTTAAATAATTTACATGGCCTCTATTTCAGGTTTTTAAATTTTAAAAGAAGTTAATTGTATGCGGGAGGGTTAAATGCTTTATAGACAAGGAACACTGCTAGAACCAGCTCTCTTGTCATCTCCAGCATCTTGGTGGTTAGTCTTTCTTTTACCTCTTCACTTTCCTTTCCCTCTTCCCTCTTGCTCTTTTCTGTCTGTGACCTTTTGTCAGAGACTTTATTTAGGCCAGTTTGTAAACATATCTTTTTCGTATNGTACTTTCCTTTCCCTCTTCCCTCTTGCTCTTTTCCGTCTGCGACCCTTTGTCAGAGACTTTATTTAGGCCAGTTTGTAAACATATCTTTTTCGTATTTTTTATTCAGCATTGCAGCCTTCTTTTCACAAGGTCCCAATTTCTTTGTGACATAGCTGACGGTTAGGCCACAATGTGTCCCTTTGATTTTTAGGGGTTCTCAGAACAATACAAGAAGGACCACTCTTGGGTGGGATCTGACACCAGCAGCGTGGACATCATCTGGGAGCTTGTTAGAAATGCAGAGTTCTAGATCCCATTCCAGACCTATTGAATCCCCACCTGCTTTTTAGCAGGATTCCCAAAGATGCCCGTGCGTAAGTTCGAGAAGTACTGCTTTAGCATGTTTTAGAAAATTGCGACATCTTGACTGAAGCTACTGGATGCTTTGTCTGGTGCTCTTCCCATCGTTTGCACGATGATGCCATGTGGAGACATTTGGCCTCTTTGATTCTTGCCCATGTTGAGTTATTTTTTTCTTAGTGAGGCCACCTGCTGCCCCGCTGGCTCTCAGTTGGCCCAGCTCTTGCTCTGTGGAGCCCATCGTGTGAGGGCTTTGAGAGCATCATGACAATTTTAAATTCTATCAGCCTAGAGGTATTCGGAAACTGTTTATAGTGAAGATGTCCATTGGTGTTTCAATAGATCATGTATTTTCTTTTCCCATTTTCCTGCAGTATGGTGATTCGTGGTGATAAAGATGAGCAGGCTGTGCTGTGCAGTAAAGACAAAACATATGACTTGAAGATAGCAGACACTTCCAATATGTTGCTTTTAATTCCTGGTTGTAAAACTCCAGACCAGCTGAAGATGGAAGAAACCCCCTGTAACATTATTCACACTGAGGTACTGTATTCTGTCTCCTGATTATTTGAGTATGAGAATGACAACACATTCTAATCTTGCCTTTAATTAAAAACTTTAGGTATGTAGTATATAACCACAGGAAATCTGAAAAGTTCTCTAATGAAATTTGAATTTTCTCAGCACTGTTTTGTTTGTCGTCTTGTGAGGTTGTCTGATTTAATTTTTAAGTGGCAGACAAGTTCACCATTTTCTGTAGCATAGAAAGTTTGCTATTAGGTGATTGATCCTAAGAGTTTTGCCTATTTTTGGTAAGTTTTTCTGTTGGTGTGTTTTGAGAGGAGGTGCCCTCAAACCATAACTAGTGCATTAGGTGATATTTATGAGGTAGAGAAATGAAGACATTTGAATTTTTGAGGGAAGTGTGTTTCTCACCTTTGAACCTGGTTTAGTTCATCACTATCCATAGCCATGTGTGACACTGCTTAATTATTTTGGAGACTACTGATGGCAGAAGCCAAACAAAAGTATCCATCCTGGTAGATTGTTACACATACAACAATCAAAGCACAGCCCTTAATTCTATCAGAATGACTTCAGGCCAGCTATGTCCATGAAAATAGAATTGGAATAGAAATAAGGGAAAATACTGGGAACCCTTGGTCATTCATATGGTGTTGTTAGAACAGAACTTCTAAAATTGTATTTTGGTTTTTGTAGGGTTATGTTTTTAATTATAACTGGTTATAACTTTAATTAACTGGAAACAACTGGCAGTTCATCCTTTTGTAAAAGACATTATTTTCTCATCAATATCTGTTATGTGGGGGTTTTTGTGAGGGTTATAAGCTCTCGTTATAAGAATTCTGTGTACTGAGACTGAGTAAAACTTAACAAAGATCCACTAACCTAAGTTTTAATCTCTAGTTGCACTTCACATGCCTAGAACAGGTAGATAAGAAATGCACATGAGCAAAGCAGGCTGGTCTTAATAAATGGTAGTGGGTTCCCCAGTCTGGAGAGTAATAGGGAATGGTGGGGTCTGTGGCAGATTGGAGAACACACCAATTTGGGGGCCACTACTTGACCTTGAAGGAAAGCAGATTACCAGATCTGATTTCTTTTGTCCCAGTAAAGCTTGAAATTTAGATTTTGGGGGGCAAAAATCTCCTAATTTTTCAATGTTGGCCACTAATTTAAACTCTATGCTAAACCTCTCTTTCTCTAATACACCAACATCTGTGTGCTGGATATAGCCAGCAGGCTGCCAGTTTGTGAACTTTGGATGACATCAATCTTTCTGGTTTAGTCCTTAAGCTCCTCTTTTGAAGGCCTTAAATTCAGCAGCAGACATCAGGCTCTTGGCCTTGTCTTGTCAATCATGCTTTGTCCTAGATTGAGAGCCGAAGCACCCCCTGACCTTCCATTTTAGAACTGGAAGGCACCCAGAGATAATCCATTCCTGCCTTTTCTCTTTCTTTCATGTGAAACACTTATTGGGCACCTTCTAAGGGTTAGACATGGGACAAATTCTGGAGATACAGGGAGGGATAGCAGCTGTTGATGTATCCTTTCGCCTCTATCAGCGGGATTTCTTTGAGTGGTAGGTCTCTCACTGGTTCAGTCCAATAAAGAACTAGCTGCAATTCTAAACAGTACAAAGTTCTCGAATTGAACAGGAATTTGTCTCCCTTAACTTCTGCTTAATTTTGACATCACGAGTAATACAGAACAAGGGTGCCCCCTCTTCCCTTGAACATTCTTTCGTTATTTGAAGACTGTGATAACGTCTCGTCTTTATTTTCTGTTGTTCAGCCTAAAAATATTCATTTTCAGTTGTTTCTATCTCATTTGTAAAGTTGTCACCATTTCTGGTCATTCTTTTTTGGGCATACTCTAGTTGCCAAAGTACAATTCCATATGGAACTCAGTTCTTGGTTCTCACTGTGTTGGCAGTATCTTCTGACTTGGGGTTTGAAAAGATTCCTGAAGATGCCTTTCAACCTGTTTGAGGTGGCTGGATGGGTGCTTTCCCAACAGAAAGCAGAACGACAATTTCCCTTTGCTTGCTTCTTGTGGAAGGCAGATGGGTGGGTTGAAATTTTGTATGAGATTTTTCTTTTAGAATGACCCCTGAAAGGTTATAATATATTTGTAATTTCTAGATCTTTGGTTTTTCTAATAATTATTGGGAACTAAGAAGATGTAGACCTAAATTGAAGAAGCTAAAGAGACTTTTGATGGCAAATACCTATGAAGGACCTGACAGTCAAAAAGAAAAGGATTCCAATTGCTCAAAAGTAAGATTTTCATTTTTTATTTGGAATTTAAAAAATAGGACATAGAGGCACTTACTGGTGACATTTTTACATTTTAAAGTTTATATTATGAAAATTTCAGGTGTATCCAAAAGCAGAAAGACGACCATGTATTCATCACTCATTTGAACATTTATCAATATTTTGTCAATCTTGGTTTGTTTTTTTCTGTCCCCTGCTAACTCCCACTTTCTTTTCCTTTTTCTGCAGTATTTTAAAGCAAATTCTACATATCATGGTGACATTTATGTAGCTGAAAGCTCATGTTCCTAAGTATGCAAAAATAGTTTTTTTCAGGTTAAATTAATTTTTACTTAATTGAAAATTATAATTAGGGGCTCTTTAGAAAAGATTTTATGGTAAGCATTGGAATTTATGTATTACATAAATACATTATGGGAAGTATTCTTACTCTAATGTCAGAATTGACTAATTCTGGAAGTATGGAAAAATATAAACCAAGTAAAAAAATTTTTTTAAGTTTTTAATGTAATTCAAAATTATAGAACTCTACTGGTATCCTGAGGACCATATTTATATTAGAAGTTCTCTTCTCCATCGACTGACTGATTTATTTTGGGGGGGAGGCTTACAGCTCTATTTAGATATTATTTATATACCAAACCACTCATTTTTAAAGCATAAATATAATTCAGTGGTGTTTAGTATATTTACAGTGGTGTGCAAAATTTCTGAGGAAGTTTAGAACATTTTCATCACCCCCAAAAGAAACTCTGTACCCTTTGGCTATTATCTTCCAATCCTACTTTTCCCAATTTCCCTCTTCCACCTCAGCCCTAGCAACCACTAATCTACTTTCTGTCTTTATTGATTTGCCTCTTCTGGACATTTAATATGAATGGAATCATATCATCTGTGGCCTTCTCTGGCTGGCTTCTTGGTTGACTTAGCATGATGTTGTCAAGTCTCATTCATATTGTAGCATGTATCAGTGGTTCACTCCACTTTATTGCTGAATATTATCCTACTTTATGAATATGCCACATGTTATCCACCTATCAGTTGATGGGCATTTGTGTAGTTTCTACTTTTTAATTGTTATGAACATGCTTAGAGAGAGGAAGGGGGAGAATAGAGAGAGAGAGAGAGAGAGAGAGAGAGAGAAACATTGATCTGTTGCCTTCCATAGACTCCCTGACGGGATCAAACCCGAAACCCAGGTATGTGCCCTGACCGGGAATCAGTTCTAACTGGCAACCTTTGCTGCACAGAAGGACCCTCAACCAACTGAGCCACTCCGGTGGAGCTGCATCTATGTTTTCATTTCTCTTGGGTATATGCCTAAGAGTGGAATTAATGGGTCATGTGTTTATTTTGCATAATCTTTTGGGGAACTGCCAGACTTTTCCGAAGTGGCTGCATCATTTTACATTCCCGTCATATGAGGGTTCCAATTTCGCCATATCCCTGACAACACTTGTTGTTTTCTGTCTTTTAAAAATCCATCCTAGTGGGTTTGAAGTGGTATATCATTATGGTTTCAATGTGCATTTCCCTAATGACTATTGATGTTGAGCATCTTTTCATGTGCTTGTTGACTATATATCTTTGGTGAATGTCTACTTAGGAACTCCTTTGCCCAATTTTTAATTGGGTTATTTGTCTTTTTGTTACTGAATTATAGGAGAGTTCTTTATATAGTCTAAATACAAGTTCCTTATCAGATAGATGATATGCTAATATTTTCTCCCATTCTGTGGGTGGTCTTTTCACTTTCTTGATTTTTTAAGAATTGTAAATGTACATAACATTTACCATTTGAATCATATATGGTTAGTTCTGTGGCATTAAGTACATTCATGTTGTTCTGTAACCACGATCACCATTCATCTACAGGAATTTTTTATCTGCCTAAGCTGAAACTGTACCCTTTAAACACTAAATCCCTAGACTCCCCTGCCTCCCAGCCTCTGGCCACCATCATTCTACTTTCTGTTTCTATGAATTTGACGACTCTAACTATCCCATATAAGTGGAATCATGCAATATTTGTCCTTTTGTGTTGATGATGTTTTGAAGTACAGAGTACAAAAGTTTGTCATTTTGATGAAGTCCAATTTATCTATTTTTTCTTTTGTTGCTTGTGTTTTGATGTCATATCTAAGAAACCATTATTAAGTCCAACATCAAACCATTATTAAATCCAACATCACTAAGATTTACCCCTATGCTTGCTTCTAAGATATCTACTGATTTTGTGGAGTAATCATTACACATTAACAAAAGAAATTGAACTAGTGTTTAAATATTGCCTTAATCTATTCCATGTATTTAACTCCCCCAAATTCAATAGTCTTAAAAAATATTATTCAGAGGCTTAAAATGTTGTTTGCTTGTTTTTTCTTGTTTCAGTATACAACTGAAGATTTGCTTGATCAAATTCAGGCAAGTGAGGAAGAATTAATGACCCAATTACAAGTTCTAAATGCCTGTGAGATTGAAGGTAGCATTACTTGCCATTGTTATTAATAATGATGGAATTGAACATCATATAAGAGAGAGACAAGTTTTTGGACGTCTCCACCCTATTGCGTATTGTTTATTCTTTTGGGGGCTCACAGATGATGATATTTGTATTTTGGGGTATAGGTAGAGAATACTTGTGATCATCTTTACATGAGGAGTGACTTTAACCTTCTTTGGATTAAGTGGTAATAGAAGAACCATGTTAGATTGAGAAAGGTCTCAGATATCAGCTAGTCTAATCCCTTCATTGTTTTTAGTGGGTGAGGAAACTAAGGCTTATTATAAAGGGAAACTGACTTGTTCAGGGCTACATGTTGAGTTAGTGATTAGAAAAGGCATAGAACCCAGGTAAACTTGAACTCCTGGTTCAGAATTAATTTAATAACCCCATTGTTATCGAGGAAAGTAAAGACTATTTTTTTTCTTTTTGAAAGCAGAGACTTTCAGTGTCTCTTTTTGTGGTGGGCAAGAGTATGCTGCTACTTTATCAATTTATTAGCTAATTAATTTACTTAATATGCTCTTTGATAAATATATATAACTTTGAATTTGCAGGTTATTGGAGGATTCTTGAATTTGATTATGAGATGAAACTTCTGAATCATGTAACTCAGCTTGTGGATTCTGAATCTTGGTCTTGTACTAAAGTTCCTTTGAACATATGTCTTCAGGAGCTGGGACCATTAGAGCCAGAGTAAGTGTTTCAGTCACTGTCCCACCAGATTTTCTTAAGGGAAGAAAATTTTTTCCATGATGGAACTATCCTCAGGGCATATACTACTTATATTTTGATGGCTTATAGAAATTTAAAAATTACACAATCAAGAAGGACTTGGGGGATTTTTGTCACTGGGGTGAATAAATGTGTGTCATATTATTTTTGCATTAAAAATACAAAGAAATAATTATGTTTAACCATTTTATATAGATGTGTGCTCATATAATTCATGTAAAAACATTTAGCATGGGATATGGCACATAATAGCTTCCCAGTATATATAAGTTAGTTCCTAATGTAAAGTTTTACTTGGCAGCTAAAAATCACTATTTCAAATCACAAATTTATATCTTAGTTTCTAGTTAGCAATAGTATGTAAAATGTAATGTATAAAAAATGTGATAACTTTCAAATGAACGTTTTAAATTTTTCAGAGAAATGATTGAACACTGTCTTAAATGTTACGGAAGAAGATATATAGAGGAAGGTAAGATTTGGAAAGTATTTTAATGGGTATAAACTCTTGAATTGGTATGCTTTTCTGAGGTGTGTTTCTGTTAAAAATAAGGGCTCCATGGGTTGTGGGAGGTGAATTGTATATAATTCCCTCTGGGAATTTCATGGGAGAAAAAATGTTAGGAGTACATTTAATGGTGTAGACAATAGGAAAGGATCAGATACCTTTTCCTTAGGTAAAGTTTATTTACTTATTTTTCCAAGGTGAAGTTTATTTTGAATTGAGTGCCGACAAAATCTGCAGAGCAACGGCACAAATGCTACTTCAGAACGCAGTGAAGTTCAATCTTGCTGAGTTTCTGGAAGTGTGGCAGCAGAGTGTCCCTGAAGGAATGACAGCTAGGCTTGACCAGCTTAAGGTGAGGTTGCGATGGTGCTTGTTACCATGACAACAGGTAACGTCATGAGTTACCGGGTGAAAGGAAACTTGTGTTGGAACTGAATCTGGGGCCAGTTTATTTTCCTAGCACCCATTAGGTGTGTACTGTACACTCAATGGCAAAATCCTTAAAAAAACCCAAAAACCAACCCAACACTTTATTGAAGTATAATGTACATATCTATCACAAAATTTACCCCTTTAAAAAGTGTTTTTAGTAAATTTAGTGAGTTACACAGCCATCATCACATTCTAGTTTTAGAACATTTTTAGCACCTCAATGATAGTTTGTCTGGCTGTAAATAGTGGTAACATCCCTAAGCAGGCCTTCCACACTTTTAATTTTGCCTACCTCCAGGCCATTCTCTGTGGTGCTACTGGAATGATCTTTTAAAAATGCCAGTCAGATTAGATGAATGTCTTGCTTCAATCATTTTAATGGTTGTCCATTGCATTTAAGATATAAAATCCAGAATTCATATCTTGGCCTACAAGGCCCTTCATAATCTCTCCTTCATAATTTCTGTCCTACTCAATGCATACCCAGTATTCTTTCAAGTTTTCAAGATCATAAACTGTCAGCTATCTTAGAGCCTTCATCCAAGGTTTCTTGTCCCAGAATGATCTCCCTAATTTCATCTGGCCACCTCTTACTCATCTTTGAGTCACTTCATCAAAGAGGCCTTCGTTCACTCTAAAAAAAATGCCTCTGTTTTACTCTTCCATAGCACCCTGTATTTTTCCTTCATGGCACTTATCACTTAGGTTTGTAAGTGTTTAATTGTGTGGTTGCCCACCTCTACTTTGGTAGAATTTTGTTCACTGTTGCTTGCCAATGTATAACATTACTGCTTGGCATGTAGTGTACGCTCAATAAGTATTTGTTAAATAAGAGAAAGGATTTGCTCAATATTTACAGAGCTCCTTTTAAGTCTAGGAACCGTGCTAGATGCAGAGGAGAAAATATTAAACCCAGGGTGCCATCAGGGTCCTAAACTCTATTTAGAAAGTATTTGGGTCCATTCAGTGTATTAGTAAGGAGAGAAACCTGATGAGTTTTGCCCTTTGGGAAGAACACTATGACGGTAATGAAGATGGCTGGCTGGCTGGCTGGCTGGCTGAAGGTTGGCTAGATGAAAAGGAGAACTATCCAGGCTCTCAACACTTCAATACTCCTAACTAAGACAGTACTGGCCATAGAAATAGGTGATACAGAATGGATAGAGAAATGTTGAGGCTTTAAAACCAATAGGATTTAGTGACCACTTAGGTGAGGGGTTTGAATAATGGAATCTAAGATGATGTCTCGGTTTCATGGCTTCCTAGGATAGTGGGACTACGGCAGGTTTGGGTGACAAATACTGTGAGTTCATATATAGGTTTGGAGATAGAAATCAGATGCTCAGTCTAAGAGACATTTGAGTTGCAGGCTCAAATTTTATAGTCATTAGCAAGTAAATGGCCGTCGAAATCATGGGTTTAGTTGAGGTTACCCAGGACTGTGACAGTGAGACAAGTAGAGGGGGCAGGATAGAGGCCCAGGGAACTGCAACATCGAGTTAGGAGGAGAGTAATGAGATGATGATGTCAGAGATAGAGATTGAAAGAAGAAATAATCAACAAAGAAAACAGGGCTGATGAGATGGATCCAAGAAAGGGCCCAGTGGAACTGGTAATGACAGGTTACTGGTGACCTCGAAAAACTATTGTTAAGTCTCAGTAGCTTGTGTATGTTTCATGTAGCTGACATTTTAAATGTCCTGGGCTAAGCTAAACCTAAAGGTAAGTGAAGAAGTCGTATTTAAACAATAGACCGTTGCTTTAACTACTCTTTTTCTTCTCATTTCTTAATAGGGTTTGGCCTTGGTGGACAGACACTCAAGACCAGAAATCATATTTTTGCTAAAAGTAGATGATTTACCTGAGGATAATCAGGCACGTTTTAATAGTCTGTTCTCTCTAAGGGAGAAATGGACAGAAGACGATATTGCTCCATATATTCAGTAAGTAATTTATTACATATGAATTTTGAGGGCGGTTCTTTTTTTTTATACAGAGAGAGTGGAAGGAAGGGGGAGAGACACAGAGAAACATCGATGTGAGAGAGACACATTGATTGGTTGCCTCCCGAATGTGCCGCCTGGGAGGGGATCCTGGGCTGGGGATCAAGCCTGCAACCGAGGTATGTGCCCTCGACCTGAATTGAACTTGCCACCCTTCAGTTTGGGGGCCGATGCTGTAACCACTGAGCCAAATGGCTAGGGCAAGGGTTGTTCCTTTTATAAAGAGTGGCATAGGGCTTTGGATTTATTATTAGAACACATTTAAAAATATATATATATCTTTCTTGATTTCAGAGAGAGGGTGGGAGAGGGAGAGAGAAACATTGATGATGAGAGAGTCATTGATCAGCTGCCCTCCTGCACGCCCCCTGCTGGGGGATCGAGCTCACAAACCGGGCACGTGCCCTGACTGGGAATCAAACCACAGTCTCCTGGATCCTAGGTTGATGCTCAACCACTGAGCAACACTGCTAGGCAGAACACTTTTTTTATTTTTAGTATTTCCCAAGGACATAATTTCCTTTGAAATTTTCTCAAGTGGAGGCTGTCTTCTCTATTATCCTCCGCAAACCCTGATCCTGAAGGTGGGGTATGTGTTATCTTTCTTCCTTGCTACTTCTAAAACCACTTCTCTGACCTCCTCCCTGCAAAATTGCAGCTCTTAGAGGGACAGTCAGATTATATACCCCTCTTCGATTGCTGCTGTTAACCTTTCCTGCTGCCTTGCTTTAACATCTTGTAGGACCAGGTTGCAGAACAAATTAGCCCAGAAGCCATTGCTCACAGGATCTCACATCCACTAACACTTCCACCTCTTTGCTGTGTGTCGCCTCTCAGGTCCTCTCTTTTTACCCAGGTTGGATTTCCTAGTCAATTTCTCCAACTATTACTGTATATGCTCTACTTCTTTGGCTTTTTCTCTCCATCTTCTCATACTTCCCAGGCAAAAATCTATAAAGATTAAACCCAACTTTCTGCTTCCTCTTTGCCCATACCCGGGGAAGCTAAAATTTCCTGGACAAAAATATACAATGAGGCTTGCCAGGCTAGATTAGGAACTTAAGTGGTACTTAGCAGCGCCCCTAGCAAGGCATCATTTCCTCATGAAACTTTTCTACCCTTGGAGCTCACTTTACATCTTTTCTCTTTACGTACCATCAGTACTCCCTGCTTCCTCTTTGCCCTCAGCTTACAACTTTTTTTTTTGAGAAAATAGCAGACAAGAGAAATGTTCTTTCCCACTCCAAATCTGCCAGCCTCCCTGTGTCTGTACCCATTTCCTTTGCAGTCCCTTCTGTATAATGCATGAACCATCCCTAAGGCCAGTCCTCCTGCACTGCATCCATCTCCAGTTACTCACACAAAAAGCCTAGAAATCAACTTTGTCCTTTTCTTCTCTCATAGTTTGGTTCAAACTGTGAACTAAGCCTGATGGATCATCTTGTACTTGACTAAATTGGTCTCCTTACCTCTATTTTTCCCCCTTACCTTCTGTCTCTTTTTACTTTATTTTGGAAAATTTTAAATATTCAGAAGTGACAATATAGTATCATGAATGCTCCATGAACTCACCACCTAGTTTCCATAATCATCACTCATTGCCTCCATTATTTAAAACTTAGATGGAGTATGCTTTTCCATTAATTAAAACTCTCTTAGTGGCTTTCCAGTATGCTTAGAATTAAATCACAACTCCTTTCCATGTTCTTCAAGGCCCACATGATCTAACCCTTGCTCTCTTCTCATGTCTGCCCATTCTTCCCTCTCCTCATTATGTTCCAGTCATAGTGTTCTTTTTGGGGTACAGAAGAGGAAGCTAAAGTTCAGGGAGGGCAGGTAACCTTAACAAGCTCACACAGGTAGCCTAGTATCCAGGTTCTCTGAGGCTAGACCCCATTTGTATTTCTAATTTGGAGGTTATGTGATAAAATGGAAAATCCAAAAACAAACCATGGACTTTGAAGTCATATAGAGCTGGCTGCAAAATGTGGCTGTATCCTTATATCAGTTTCCTCATATATAATATGGGGTTAAATAATGCATTGCTTATACACTTCCTGCGAAGTCTGAAGATAATAAATTCAAAGAACCTATTCAATTAAGTCTTAGTAACTGTGCCCTTCTCTGTCTCTCCTACAAACACATACTCAATGCTTGTTGGGAAGATGAGATTTAGGGGAAAGAGATATAAATAAATAGTACTGTGAATATTATGTTCCCTAAAATATTCATGCTATTCATTTATTTTTTTATTGTTCCTACAGAGATTTGTGTGGAGAGAAGCAAACCATAGGTGCATTACTTACTAAATATTCTCGATCTTCAATGCAAAATGGTGTTAAAGTTTATAACTCAAGAAGACCCATTTCTTAAAAGAGCGACAATCTTTTCTTTGGACTAAAGTCCCTTTATAAGGTTGCTGGTTATAAGAAGAAGATTCTTTTATGTATTTGTATTCCAGAGTTTAAAAACCTCGTGATATGGGGCATTTTCTTTCTCATCTTAAGCATCTTGAAACTACTGCTCTTCTTTCTCAAATGTACGATAATAGGATATTTCTGTCTTTCAAGTTATGCTTGTATTAGGTACACAGTGTAAACAAGGACAGAAGAAAGTGTTATTTCTTATGTTTAGTATATCTCTGTAGTCCATTTGGTTTTATTTATTGAAAATTGTTTGCTTTTTTAATATTTAACATTGTATTTCTTTAATTAGGATTTGACATTGTAATCATTATTAAATTTAAGTTTTCAGAGAACTAAATAGCCAAGAGAATTATTTATGCACTTAAATGTCATTTCTTAAGCCAGTGGGTTCCCATCCAGTTTCAACCTTCTGTTAGAACAGTAAGTCACTACATGCTATAAGTTATCTACATTTCATCGTTTTCATTGGTGAAATTGGCTTGATAATTGCTCCTCCATATGCCTGGCTGAAATTGGATGAAGTGGATTTGATCCTCAATTCTATGTGAAGGATACTAATAGAACAGTTTATAATCATGTGGTAGGCAGCTAGACAGACATGAGCAGAGCAAGGGCGATGGGCCAGATACAGGTCACCAAGGTAGAAAGCTCAAGTTCCTAGCAATGGACAATTGTAGAGTAGAACCTCCTCCCCAGGGTGGCCTTTCCTCCCCTAGCATATGGGTGGTCATGTGGTTTGGACCCCCAAACCTTTCCTCCAAGGAGAACATCTAGGCCTCAGTTGTATTTCAGCTTCAGGCCCAGAAAAGGAGCAGAACCAGACAAGGATATCACCTCAGGACCACCTGCATTGAATAATGACCTCCCTGCCCTGGTGCAGACCAATCAATCAGTGGGAACCCCGACCCTAAAAAGATATAGCTGGAAAGCTGCTGAATATTCTTTTGAGATCTTCCCCTGAGACCTCCCCTAAAATCTCCACCCTTAAAACCCTTAGTACTGAGAACACAGCTCACTCTACCTCCCAGGAGGTAGCCCTTGCCTTTCCCCTCCTCTACTCCCTCTCCTTTGGTGCCTCACCTTTTACTCTGCTCACTTCTAAGCTCCAAGGACCCTTCCTTTGCCTCTACAACTTGTTTCCTAATCCCATTTCTTCTACAAATTACTTCTACGAATTACTTCTTCTACCTCTGTGATTTTCTAAATAAATGTTCTCTTATAGCTTGAGTCTTGGCTCTGAATTCTTCCTAGCCAGAACTCAGCTACGGAGGTTGCTGAACCCAGGTCTGTTTTGACCCCACTGGTCTAACACCTGGTGCCATTCTCATGCCAAAAACCCTATAATGGAGAAACTGACACAGGTAATACTAGAAAACTACAATACCTCGTTGGTTTTGGAATGCTTGATAAATTTTTTTTTTAAAGCTTTACTTACCTAATTTGTTTTCGTTTAGACCAAAGTTCAAATTAATATTGACTTACCTAATGAACTCATCACCGGGACAGTTGGAGGGGGTAGGCCAAAGCTAAATCTGGCCCAAGGTTAAAAATAATGTTAATGGGTAAGCCACAACTGACCAAGATTTAACTGTTACTGCAATTTACAAAGTTTTAATTCTCACGCACATGAATTGCAGATAGGATGGCTTCACAAATACCTTTCCTGTCTTTCAACAACGTTTTCTGCATCTATTTGGATCATTTGTTCTATTTTTAAAAATAAATACTGAGTCATCAGTGCCTAGTGAGAACTCTGGAGTCAGAGTAAATGGGGACTAATTACGTATTTTACAACTTAAATCCCTAGGGGCCCAGTGAGCCGGTGTCCACACAGCACACCAGAGCCACACCGTCCTGGGGACAGAGACTCCCCAGCCTCTGGCCCATCGCAAACCTTGCCCCATACTTCTCAATGTGCTTGCGCTAGACCTTCACTCCTCTAAAATGTAAACGTCCCTTCCTGCTCTTCTCAACGCTCCCTGTAAATAAATAGTCGTGGTCCCTTTCCTAACCTGGAGCGGTTCCCACCCACTACACACGTGCACTGACCGGGGCAGCGTAAGCCCCGCCCACGTGCCCAAACTTCCGGCCCTCGTCGCCGTCGCACTTCCGCTGACGTCGGAGGTCATAGGTGACGGGCAGGTTGTCGACGGATGGTGGTTTTAGGCGGTGACTGAAAGAAGCATCTCCGTGACCCGA